AAAAGATAACTTCGCAAATACATTATGAAAAGATGCATTAGTAAATCAATACTATACTAAGGGGGTGTTTGCTACACGAAAAATTTTGGCATTTTGTATGGATTACAAGTTTGGAAGCAAAAAGTGATTTTTTGTATTTCGGTATTCTATATATGGTATTTGTTTTAAGAAATTTTATAGAATATTGAATCCCAAAACTGAAAAAAGTGCTCAATTATTAGAATTTGTCAAATCCTCTCAATTGGAGAGGATTTTGATAAATTCCATAAATGAGTGTGCTTACCTCTCAATTGGAGAAAATTTAACAAATCTTAATTTCTTCGTTTTGTGGGAGGTAACTCACCAAGGTAGCATATTCATCATATTATAAATTTTTGGCATTTGGTAATACTACAATTTGAGCTTGAAAGAAACAAAATATTACAAATTGTAGTATTAAAAATCCCAAAATATTAATGAAACAAACAACATTTTAAAATTCTCAACCCATAACAAAACACCTATGGATTTCAAATCCCATTGTGAAATTCATATTCTAAAATTATAGGATTTGAAACAAGCACCCCCTAATAAAATAAAAAACCGATTGTATATTTTTAGAGTTAATTATAGAAAATCTTCTTCAAACTAGGGAGCTTGTCTTAGAAAATTCCCCTAAGCTACTTTTAACTTTAGATAACCCCCTTACATTTGAGGGTGTTATAGATAACCCTCTCAACTTTCAAAATATGGCTAAACCCCCATTAACTATGGGGTGTCTCACAAAACCCTTTTCATCTTTCTATTTTTTTAAATAACACCCTAATATTATTAATTTGAAATATGCAATGACTAAAATACCCTTAGTTACAAAAAATTCATGTGTATTTAAAACCCCAACCTAACCCAATAAAAAATTAGACTTTTATTTGATGAATTTCAATGAAGAAACTCATCTTAAATTTTTAAAAAAAGTTTTGATTGTTTCAAACATTACAAGCATGGATAAACAGAAAATAAAACAAGTTCGGAGTTTCAAAAAAGAAAGAAAAAAAATAGATTTGCGTGTGAACCTAGCAACGAAGATGGAGGAATAAGGAGGGAAATAAAATGAAAGCTATTTTTAACCAAAAAAGTTAAAAAGGAACTCTACAGTAATAATTTTAATGTCTTAGGAACAGTGACGAATTCAGGATTTTTGAAATGTGGTGTCAGTATATAAGCAATAACTACAAAGTTTACAACTATTCATGTTGAGTTTCCATATTTCAAAAAAGTACATATCCGCATCATTTGTAATATTGTGAAATATAGCTTTCTTAGTTAGTGGCCGCACAAGTAATGGGGTGACTTAAAATTTCAACGGAGAATGTAGTCTAAAAAGAACCTCCAAGTTTTACGTTGCTTTTCTACTAATTCTTAATTTTTTTAACAAAGAAACCCCCAAGTATTGCCCCTCTCTTCTAAGGGACCCTCTAGCTTTCTTTTTTTTAAAAAAAATAAAGCCCTAAAGTTGTATTTCTCTTTTCAAAGAAATCTCCAACTCTTCTTGTCAATTTAGGAGTTTTGCTGTAAGAAAAAAGAAAAAAAAAAGAAAGTTGGGGTTTTCTTGTTAGATCTAATAAAAACTTGAGATCTAAACCATAAAGCCATGATTAATTCGAAGAGATTAACAAGAATCAAAAGAGCGGAAGCTTATACCTGAATCCATAGATGAAACTTGAGATGGGTTTTGGATCTTCTAACTTTAGGGTTTCTCTAGCCAAATTTCTTTCTAGATGGGGGTCACTAGTAGAAAAACGATCAACCTAGACGGAAATTTCCGTCTAGGTTGATTGCAATTCCGTCTAGATTAGGTCATCTAGACGGAATTCCGTCTAGTTTGAGTGGTTCATTTTGCTTCCGTCTAGATTGCTTCAAACTAGACGGAATTCCGTCTAGATTGATCAATCTAGACGGAAATCAACCTAGACGGAATAAAGAATTCCGTCTAGGTTGGCAACCCAGACGGAATTCCGTCTGGGTTGGTTTTTTACAACCTAGACGGAAATTCCGTCTAGGTTGGTTCAATCTAGACGGAATTCCGTCTAGATTGCTTTTTTTCAGGAAAAAAAATTAATTAAAATTTGTATTTCCCTGTATAATTACATTAATATTTGAATACATCCAGAAAATACTGTACACGCCACATTTAACCATCCAATCATAATCAAAATTCATAACAATTCCATTCAAAAACATCTATATAACCAAATCCAACACATTGTACAAATCCAACCATCCACTTCAAAATACACATCAATCAGTTTCGTCTAAAACACATCCAACAACATATATACTAACAATGCCAGTGACTAAGATATGATACACGACATGAATAAATGTAGTGTTATAACAAATAAAACTGTTTATTGCATTAAAAATAAAAAAACCTCATCCATCGTCGTCGGCGGGGGTATCTCTATCCCGATTACGAGAACGGGTGCTGCTCCCTCCAATATCTCCACTCTGAATGTTTAATTGAATAATCATTATGTGGTGTTTAATAACATATTAGATAAAAATGAATTTATAAATATAAGAAAAAATAAGGTACATGAGCACTACTCTGTCTAGCGCCGAAATTATCGCCAATCGAGCTAATGATCCGTATGACACCACCATACACGCTATAAGGAATAGCACCGCCTAAATATTGTTTAACATTCCCCATGAGATCGTCCATCGAGTTCGCCGTCAGCGCAACTCTAGTCATCTCATTAGTCACCTGAATATGCAGCTCCGGGTCAATTTTGTCAATCAGATACGCAGAGATACGTGCGACAAATGGCATAGCCTGGAAACTGCTTGTGGCTGCTCTCGTCGATGTAGATGGTGTGTGTGGACGATCTAATGCTTATACCAGGTGAAGCTCCAACACCATGCAGAGGATATCTCCCTCTCCTATGTTTAGGGAGAAATAAATATTAAATTTACCTCTCGAATTCAATAATGATAAAAAAATATAAATAGGAATGTAGTATTCAAATTGATTCAAATTTTCTACATCCATACCTATTATGACCCATCAAATGCTGTGTGAGAGTAATGTTGTCCTCTGCAGAAAGCATGTGAGGGTCCGGCTCGGTTTGTTCCTCCTCCTGCGAAATGTACACAGATGCAGCCTCCTTGGATGCAGTCTCAAATCCCTCCTAAATCACATATGTATAGTTAATTCAAGATAATGACCATATTATTTGTGTTCTCGTTTCCTCGTAATGTTAACAAAATAGAATTAATAATACTACTCAAGATATGTATAAGTCTCACCACTAACTCGAGATTTGCCGTGATCTTATCCCGATTCCTCTCATCACCCCTATATTGTTCACGAAAAGTACCATATGCCGCTCTGGCCCTCAAGTGTATCGGCATTAATGATTTCCCCTGTCATATTATAAATTATGAGATTTCATAATCATACTAAACATTAAGATCTTTTAAATCTTTAAATGACATATACCGTATCTTGACAATAAACATCCTCCAGATTGGCGTAGGAGTGTGAGCCCAAGTGATGGTCATGCAGCTTCTTTCTTCTATTTTCTGACCCCTTCGTGGATTTATTCTTTAAAAAAATTCTGTAAATATAAAATGAAATAATATCTTAAAATTATAAACTAAATTTCATGAAACTAACCTTGGCGGCATCGCTGTCCCAATACATGAGGAGAGCCGTGAAATGAATCTCGTCAACTCGGTCATCGAGGTTTAAAAACCTCTGCCAGTCCTCCTCATACCTGTCATAGGTTTCATGTTTGATCTCATGCCTCCATTGTTTGAGGACTGCTTCAACCTTGACATTAAACACATAATTCCAAGCCCCCTCAAAGTCCTCAAGGCAGAAGCAGTCCTGTAGATTTACATACACATTTAGTAAGGATAATTTAATATCAATTACTAATTATTAATAAATGAAAATCTAAAACAATATGCACTTACCATAAGCGCAGTCCATATCGCCTCGTATGCGGTCCATGGTAATTCTCGAAAATGAAAATAAGGGTTGATAATGGTCGCTCTACGCATGAGAACCCCAATATATGCATTCAATCGGGTTGACCAAGGACCAACGGGCAAATTAGAACTATTCCACCTAATAATGCCCCTCATTCCTCTTGGCGGTTGTTTAGAATCAGGCTTACCTCCGCCACGTCGTCCCTCTATGCGATCCTTCTTAGCACCTACAATAATGACAACATGATAATATATCATATAATATACAAATGTGAAAATTAAAAATATTTATATAATTTACCATTCGCTATCTCTCTTTCTTTTGCTGCGAGTGCAACAGCTTTCCTAGTCTCCAACATAGAAAGCATTTCCTGATACCTTCTCGCAGCACGTGGGTAGTACTTCCTTGAATCAGCCTTGGACTTATGAGAGTCCGAAGGTAAAGGTAAACTGAGAAAGTCCGGTGGTAATTGAATAGCTTCAAATTCTGAACCACATACAGGACAAGCACACTTGCCCTTCGTAGAGTACCCTGACAGATTAGCATAAGCTGAAAAATCATTAATCGTCCATAGTAGAATAGCACGTAATCTAAACGACTCTTTTAAATGGGCATCATATGCTAAAATACCCTCAGACCATAATTGTTTTAGCTCATCAATTAGAGGCTCTAAGTAGACATCAATATCATTTCCCGGAGCATGCTTACCGGGTATCAGTAATGAAAGTATCATAAACGGCTGTTTCATAAGGTAAATTATATGGCATTAATATAACTGGCCACGTAGACCAACCAGAGCTCATTGCCCCAAATGGATTGAATCCGTCGCTTGATAGACCCAGTCTTACATTTCTGCAATCTTCGGCAAAACGAGGATAAATTTTATCAACATGCTTCCAAGCTAAAGCATCAGCAGGATGTCTCAATTTACCATCGTCTACTCGATCATCCTTATGCCACCTCATATTCTTTGCAGTTTCCTTGTTCATGTATAATCTTCGCAATCTAGGAGCCAATGGAAAATGTCGAAGCACTTTGACTGGAATTTTCTTCTGTCTTATCCCTGTCTCCGTTGTAATCATTGTTGAAGAATTTGTGCGCTGTTTCCACCTAGAAGCTCCACATGTCGGACACTCTTGAAGGTCTTTATTGGCTTTGTGGTACAAAATACAATCATTCGGACATGCATCAATCTTATTATAATCAAGACCCAGAGCGGAGACAATCTTCTCAGCTTGATAAGTTGTTTGGGGTATGCTATTCTCTCCTCCAGGGATTACAGTCCGAAGCAAATCAAGAAGCATTTCAAAATAATTATCTGACATACCGCTAAGTGTCTTAATATGAAGGAGTTTCAGTATAAATGAAAATCTGGAGTACTCGGTACATCCCTCATATAAGTCCTTTTCACTATCTTCTAGTAGCTCCATTATTCGCTTTATTTCTGCGGAGGAATGCATATCATCAATATTTTCGACACTCACGACACCTCCTACCTCTTCAGCTTCAACTTCGTTATCATCTTCACTTTTGTCTCCAATATCATCCTCGACATTATCATCAACATCATATTCTGTAGGTCGAGGAAAAATATCATTCAACAATGTTTCTGTGTCATCTATTCGTTGGCCACCGGACGTACCAACATGCATATTTGGATCATCATCTTCAGTGATACCCTCCCCATGCCAGTTCCAGTATTTATATTTCTCATCAAAACCTGATTTTATTAGGTGAATCCGTATATCATTTCTATTCAGCAGCTTCAAATTCCTACACCTACAACAAGGACAGTACATAGCACCGCTTCTTAAATTTCTCGGATTCATTTCCGCATAACGCATGAAGGCTTCACATCCCTCCTTGTATCGTGTGTCGTGAAATCTACGATACCTAGGGATATCTATCCATGACTTGTCAGGAATTATCCTCATCTGTAAATTATATATAAATATTAAATACGATTAGTCTCACAACTACTAATACATCCATTACTCTTATACATTCAACACACATCAAACATACGTTCATATATCATTTAACAATATGAATATTTATCTACATAAAATATATATAAAACATACGTAAAAACTAATTACACTAATCTTGCGGCTGTCATAGGAAGGCTTCTATCCATTAAGAATATAGTAGTGCTTACATCCAACTTCATATACTTTGTATATTTTCATTTTTTGAAAATTTCGGCAGCACCTACCCGCTATTCTCCCTGTACACTGTGCAGATGTTATTATGCGTATCAGTAATAACCCGAAACGCGGAACAACATACGCTTATTGTACACGGAGAACAACGAATAGGTGCTGCCAAAACTTTCAAGAATAAAAATATACAAAGTATACAAAGTTGGATGTATGCACTACTATATTCCTAACCCGTCCGAGAAGGACAGATCCAATAATTACGAATTTCAGTACCAATTTTTTATTCCTATAATATAAAATAAACGCTCATTTATGGGAGAAAACATCGTCTCCTACCCAAATCTGAATCGTATATCATATATTATAAGTCCAAATAATTGGATGTAATTATTGGACGGAAGTCTAGGGATAACGTTATTTTTTTATTCACCTAAATTGGATTATAACACATTATAAAAATTTATAATGTGTTATATATCACTCTATTTTTTACAAAAAATTATTTCACATATTTTCACATCACAAACTTAAATAATCACACATACTTATAGCACGAATGAAACTTAAATGAGTTAGGGTTTATAAGTGTTTAAAACTCAATAATGATAACTAGTGTTGTTCAAATGAATTAACATGTATTTAATTAAGTTAGGATTTTCAGAATTGAACTCGTTTATTTTTCAACATAATTAGGGTTTTTAACCAAATTCAACAATAATTAATAATAAAATTAAAATTTCTAAAGCTCAGTAGAAAAATCATACCTTTTAAACTGATTTCCGCAACGGACACCGCCGAAGGAGGGGGGGTCGGGAGGTTCCGGAGGAGGGGGGGTCGGGAGGGG